TCTTTTATGGTAGGGACCTGGATCCCACTATAAGATTTTCTTTCCCGAAAAGGTCTTAAGGCGATATCTAATGTTGTGATTCATTCATCCCGTCTAATCATCTATTAGTGGGTATCCTATTGAACAAATTTTACTATTCAAATGCCTCCATATAGTTTTCCAGAAGTGGTAGAAAAAAGTAGCATCTCTGACATGTTGAACATCCCTCTGTAAGGGTAACTCAGGAAATATAATATATATCTGAAAGGTCTTGAAATTCTCTTATCTGGGATGGTTACATGTTTGGTGTCGGTTCATCGGACATATGACTGTTTAGGGACCACCAATGTTAATTCTGTTGGAGTCTCTCTCATGGCATCAGCTTGGACTATATGCTTTTCTCCCTTGTCAGCTGGAATTTGATACTCCTCCTTTGTGTCCTCACTTTCTTCAATGTCTACTATGTTATTGTCTCTTTCTTCAATTGTTCCCTATCCCTGGTCAGTAAAATAGATTATTCCTGTGGTTTTCAATATTATTCACTGTACCCAAATATGTGATGCTTGAAACACTTTCTGGATGTGATAGATATAGGAATTTCAGTTAGCTTTGCTGGTTCTCCACTTTGAACTAATTTCTTCTTAGGTGGGGTCGGCTTGGATGTTATGTTGGGTATGCTCTTTTTGCTTGATCCTAGGGTTAAATTCTGTCTTAATATGTGACAGTCACCGAGTGAGGTCTCTCCACATTTTAAGCAAATAGGTATTGAACATCCCACCTATAACAAACTGATAGGCACTGGCATTGCATCTCTCGTTTCATTTTATACCAGAGAGTAATCTTTTCTTTCCCTCATGCTGACGTAGGTGCTTCAAAATAACACTCTTCTTTAATTTGTTGATGACTAGTTTCACAATTCTATCTCGTGGGACTTCCCAGTAATTGAAGAAAATTTTCACAGTCTAAAGTCACTCGATGAACTTGACTAGGATCCAAGTGGCCATTAAAATATGGTAAATCCAAAGTTACTTCAAAATTCTGACTTCTCAGATATTTCAGATCAAATCTTCGGGGTAGAGGTTTTTCATCTCTGAAATCGGTATGGTGGAAGAGATCCACTCCATTCCCTAAATCTAACAAGTCATCGTTTCCCTTCTAGATTGCCTTCTCTCGAAGACGCAAATCTTTGTTGTAGTTGGAAGATTTTCCACCGCACAACCTTCATAGATGGTTCCCGAAGGTCACTTGTGGATTTGTCACAAACGGCATCGGGGCATTTCTTTGACAATCATCTCTTCTATGGCATGATTAGTGTTGGGATGTAGGTAGAGGTGATGTAGGGTGTAAAAATGGGAGGAAAATTTTTGTTTTCAGGGGTGGGAGGGGGATTTTAGATATGGGTATGGCAAAAGCTAGAAACCATATGATAAAAGTAGGGTTAGACTAGCTAGGATACCAAATGATACCAAAGTAACCCAAACCACAATATGAAAAAAAAATATTATCAAAAGGAAAGTTCTAACAAACACGACCCAAGGATACGCTGAAACAGAAAAAAACAAAAAATGACAATACAAACTCAAACTAGGTGGATCTCCGGGTGGAGGTGGTGATCAGCGAGGGGTCAGAAGGCGGCGAGACGGTGGAAGAGCTGGTCGTCCAACATAAACAACAAGGTAGTGGTTTCTCGGGTTCCATACAGTAGGCAGACAACAAAAAATGACGTGGAACCGTTGTTTTGGAAGATGACAACAAGTGAGAAGGAGATAAGGCGCAGGTTATGGGTAGAGACGCGTAAGAAGGTAAGTTGTAAGGGTGCGGTTTTGGTGGCTGAAATAGCAGGAAAATATCCAGGAATGGTTGTCCGAAGGGGGGGGTGTGGAATTGTGGGATAGCGAAAGACGGGCGGCAAGAATGAACGGAAGCAAAAGTGGAGGCGACCAGAAAGGATGAAAATTGGTAGAAGAGGTGGTGGCTAGTGGCTAGAGTTGAAGGAAGATAGTCAAAATGTTGTCTGGTGGCAAGCAGGCATGTCGGCAACAGAATTGGGGAATGGGCGGGGTGATAGCGAAGTCGAGCGGCTAGAATGAATGGAAGCAAAAGGGGATGTGACTGGAAAGGACAAAAATAGTAGAAGAGGTGGTGGCTAGTGGTTGGAGTTGAAGGACGAAAGTAGAAATAAGGTCCGGTGGTTCCAGTAACGAGTAAAGGTAGCGGTGGCAGTGAGGGGAGGAATGCAGAGGATGAAAAAGTTGGAGATGCAAGAATGAGCTACAATCAGAGCACCACTAAATCCCTTGGAAGGAGATCACCACCTCAGATGAGCTACAGTCAGAGCATCACCCGTCGTTGGATACATCCCTGGAAGAGAAAAAGAATACAATGATGGTTGTCCCGAAAGAAAACATACGCCTAAACAAAAAACTCAAAACTCTATTACAACATGTATACAAGTTCCCTCATACAAAACCCTAATTAGAAATTAGAATAATAGGAAAGAAATTATAAATAACCTTTACATAATAAAATAAAATAAAATGAAAGGGCTCCATAGGCCAGGCGGCACAATCCTGAGTGAGAAAGTCCCGCTTCAGGCCTATCGGAATGGACTTCCACCCCCATTTCCAGGTATGCAAGGAACTCCTATGGATGGATTGCGATTTGTTCCCAAAATTGCAAGAAAATGTGAACTTCTGCATTGTGAGGTGGTCACAGGTGGCTGGTGTTGCAAGAAGACAGCCGGAATGTTGTCTCGTGGTTTCAGCGGCACAATCTTGAGCGAGAAAGTCCCGCTTCAGGCCTATCGGGATGGATTTGCACCCCCATTCCCATGGATGCAAGGAACTCCTATGAATGAATTGCGATTTCTTCCCAAAATTGCAAGAAAATGTGAACTTCTGCATTGTGAGGTGGTCACTGGTGGCCGGTGTTGCAAGAAGATAGTCAGAATGTTGTCCGGTGGTTTCAGCAACGAGGAAAGGCGGTGGCGGCGACAGTAAGGGGAGGAATTTAGAGGATGAAAAAGTCGAAGATAAATACTCCCACAAGAACGAGCTACAATTGGAGCACCAATCCATCCTTTGGAAGGAGATCACCACCTCGGCTGAGCTACAGCCAGAGCATTACCTGCCTTTGAATACATCCCTAGAAGGGAGAAAGAGAACGACGACAGTTGTCCCGACATAAAACATGTGCCTAAACTAAACATTCAAAACCCTATTACAACATATATATAAGTTCCCTCATAGAAAACTCTAATTAGAAATTATAAAAATAGGAAAGAAATAGTAATTAACCATCAAATAATAAAATGAAATAAAATAAAATAAGAGGGCTCCATAGGCCAGGTGGCACAAAACCGGGCGAGAACGTTTTCCTTCGAGCCTGTCGGGACAAGCTCCCACCCCTATTCCAGTGGACGCAAGGAAATGCTATGGATGGACTGCGATTCGTTCCCATAATTGCAAGAAAATGTGAACTTCTGCACTGCGTTTGGCCTCAATCACGAAAATCAATCATGAAACAACATCACAGAAACACCTCCTGCGTCGGAAGCAGGAGACGGAATGTGTGTGTGTGTGTTTGTTTCTACAAGGCGGGGATGCTAGAATTATAATAAACTCTAGGGATTGTTTGGTAGCAAGGTTTAATAACCTAAATCCTGCCAAATAAAAATAATGGCAATGTTAAATCTTGCGGGATCTTAAATCCCATTTCTTCTCCATTTTTTCCTTAAATCTAAAATTTGTTAAATCCCCTTTGAAGGTGGATTTATGGGATATAGCAGATCTGAAGCGTGCGAAGACGGATGTGAAGATGACAAGGTGGTGTGTTGCGGCTAGACAGTGGTTAGGTTGGTTGGGGAGTGGCAACCAACAATAAAGAGATGGAGGAGTTATGACAGTAAGGGAATGGTTAGGGGATTGCGACAACAAGTTGTGAGGTGGGCAGAGGTTGCAACGACATGGAGATAGGGTTACAGGGAATTGCGGCAGCAAGTAGGTAAAGGGGAAGGGGAGTAGACCACCGGTAGGGGGCCGACAGGTTGGGAGCAAGCTACAACAAGCTTGCAGCTGGATAGAGGAACAGACTCCTGGTGGTGTCTAATTCATGATGCTAACCCTGTTAATACTTGGCTGGCAAGAAGGGGAATCTGTGATAATCAGGCATGTCCTTGGGGTTGCAGGGAACCTTAAGACAAAAACCATATATGTTTCGGTTGCAGTGCAGTGCAGGCAGTTTTGGAAGCTCTTCGAAAGTGGGTTTTGGTATTCATATGCAAGAAAATCGGGAGGATATTCTTCAATCCCTTACCTCTCTGGTGAGACGAACTTTGCTCTCAATCGCATCTATCGCAACACCATTTATCACTGCTAGAGGGCCCAAAATAATAAAATGTATGACACAATTTTCACACCGCAATATAAATATTATGTCCCTGACATTCCTTCTTTTAGTTCTTACGCTGAACCACACTATCTATATCCTAAAAAAGTAAGTCTGAAGATAGGAAAAGGCTCGAATGAATATTTTTTTTTCCATAAAACAAAAAAATTTTAGTAAGAGCAAAAATGTTAAGTGTTAAATTCAATTCTGTAATAAGCTGTTTCAGGAGGCAAAAGTAAAGAGGATCAAGAATTGGAAGCTACCCAAGAAACAAAGTGAAGCAGATTTTTCTTAAAATTGCATTAACAACTAACAGAAAATAATAAAGCACATACCCGCACTAATATATCATATATAAAATGGATCTTTCTTAAAATTGTAACATTTTGTAATTAAATAATCTATATTCTAACATTAATACTTCTTGTAATAAAAATACTTTCATTTTGTAGCAACAACTCAGCAGAGAATTGATGTGATGAGCAGCTTCTGTTTCCAGTCCAAAAAAATGCTAGTAGTAATACATCCTTTTTAAACAAATGCGTCAATAAATTGAGGTTTACATTAAGATAGTATGAAGAAAAGTTCACAGTTTATTCATAAGACTTGCAACGGCAGTGTACCTTAAACCTTACCTATCAATGATTTTTAGGCGTCCTTCAGGTAACCATAGACCAATGTCTCCAGTATGAAGCCATCCATCTTCATCAATAACCTCTTTTCTGCACAATGTTCTTCAAGGATTCAACTTATTGAAATTCAAGGTGAATCTAAAATAATTACTGAGAAAAAGCATTTACGTCTGCAAATCATCTTTGTAGTAGCCCTGAAAGACTATAGGTCCCCTAACACAAACTTCTCCACGAGGATACGGATGGTCTTCAGACGTATAGTTCATTTCAGGAACATCAACAAGCTTGATTTCTAGATATTTAAAAAAGAATGATTAATATATCAAGAATGCAATTTGGTATACAGAAGCTATATCATCACACTTAGAGATTCTTAAAACAAATGAAGATTCACATACAAACCACTCAATCCTTATGTGTTTACATATCTAACACCTAAACTTCAATTTTTACATATATGCCACCTTAATTATGCAGGAAAAGATGTATTTCACTTTTAAAAGTTAAAAGTGGTACTTTTGTTGTGATATGAAAGATTTGGATGGTATAAATGCAAAAAGTAATAAAGTGTTAAATATGTAAATACATAGGAATTGTGTGGTATATGTAAATGCCCCAAAAAGAACTAAATTACTTTCCTCTTTGGAGGCTTTTGATAATTGGGATTATGACCAAATGAAATATTCTTAACTGCTATATCCGAAATGAGAAAGGGGCTGTTTGGGATCACTTTTTGTTTCTTGTTTTTTATTTTTGTTTTTAATTTGTTTGGTTTTTATTGATTTTTTTAACATAAAATGAAAACATGCTTGGTACTCATATGAATTTTTCTTTTTCAAAACAAAAAACAAAAAAATTGTTTGCTAGTCATATACATTTTTGTTTTTAAACATAAAAAAAAAGATAGCTTATTTAAAATATTTAAACAAAAAGATATGGAACATTTACATATAACCCACCCATTTCTTATGTATTTACATATCTAACAACTAAACTTCACTTTTTACAATTATACAACTAAAATATAAATTAAGAGAACGATATAACCAAACTTGGTAGAATAATTGCGAGAAATTTGTTCAAATAATCAACCTACCAAACTTTGTAGAATAATTGCAACAGAGTTCCAATGTTGCAATACAGAAAACTGAAACTTCATCAAGTGCCTTATTTTCAAGATTATGGATTTTATAGAATTGAGTAAATAGCTAATCCATTAAACGAATTTCAACCTACCAAACTATGTAAAAACTAAAGTTTTGGTGTTAGGTATGTAAATGTCAATGTCAAAATCCTTGAGTAGCAACATTAGGACATATTAGTTTGATAGATTCAATATTTTCAACAAAAATGGAAAAGCTTTCCAATCAGAACAGTGTCGAGTTCATCCATATTCATACTGACCAAAGAAATCTGGCTGGACTTGGGAAAAAGAGGCAGATTTTCTGGGTTAAGCGATTTGGGGATTGGGGCGTTTGATGTGGATTCATGCCCCTTATTATAAAAGAGAGATCCTATGAATATTGCTGCTTTCTGACTCATTATCTTTAACTTAAAATCTTGTTTGCATAAACTAGGATAGGGGTTTGTATTTTTCATTGATCCTGAGAAATTTAATTTCTACTGATCTTAAATATGAAAGCCTTTACTCCTATGTCCTACAAGAATACAGCAAGTTAAAGTTTTGTTGATTTTTCTTTCTGTATCTCTCTTAATCTAAGAGCCTCAGAAGGCTGCCCAAACTCATTGCAACAAAGCATGTCTAGAAAATTTCATGGACTTCAAGAAAAATAAAGGAACAGTGTCATAAAAAATGATCAAGCGTGGAACTTGAAGGATTCAGTATTATTCACTTGACAGATTTCATATTTCGCCCAAATTATGGTTTGATGTCCGCCACATTCTTTCCATCTCAATATCTCCAAGCTTTCTCTCTTATGCACACCTACCTTTACCACCTAACCAAAAAAAAAAAAAAAAACATAAAATCCACCTTTCAACTCCAATCCAAATGATGGATTGGATGCCCCTATGGATTTTAGAACAAAATGGTACTAAAGTAACAGATTTAAGTTTGAACCTTAAATCAAGGAGATGATGAAATGTTATGGAGAAGTGTAAAAAATGGAGAAGGCTTAAAACCAGAAGTTTGAGAAGATTTTTCCTATCCGAGTAAGGTCATTAGGAGAAAAGGATAGGCACCCTATTTACACTTTTTTACTATAATATTGACGACACATTTAGAATGAATCACTCAAAAAAATCTAATAGCAGAAATCCATATGCGTACTCAGACTAATATGTTTGATAAGGCAAGAAGTTGGAGATGATGGCAGATAGAATAAAAGAAGAAAAAGATGAGATTAAATTCTTAAAGTTTTGAGGATGCAACCAAAGAAGAGAAGAAAAAATCAAGATAATTAAAGAAACAAGAAGTTCATTATTATTTCATGGTTGAATACAAGTAAAAGCTTCTAACCTTTGATGACATCATGGACACCGACATATTGCACAACTGGTTTCAATAGTTGAATATTTATTTTTGATTTGAACAGTTTGACACTAATTTTTCTATATATTCTTACATAACTAGTTTCTTTCGCTCATTAAAAATTTATTTCCTATGAGTTGGTATGGTGGAATACCAATGTGAAAAATTGGGACTAGATTAACGTAGGCTAAATTAAAAAGACATTTTAAGAGGAGTTTTGAACTAATTAAGTATATAGAAGATATATCTGATAGATGCATTGACGAAACCCTTATAATAGTGCTTTGATAACAATGCAAGTCTACACTAAGTTTCATAAGCAAGCCATTGCTCTCAAAGCATGTTGGAGTGCAACAATACCTATCCTGACAATTAAAATGGTATGAAATTCAAGATATTAATGACGCAAGCATGACGACAATTCCTATTGAGAAGTAGTGTAACACCCTGTTATAATTTTAAAAAGGTTGAATAAAGAAATAGAACCTGAACCACACGTAGCCATTTCGATGACGAAGACGAATGCAAGTAGGTAAATAGGAAGTTAAAGTAAGGAGATGAGACTTCACAAGTGGTTGCGTCATTATAAGTGAAGTGAAACCGTACTAAGGGGGACGCTCCCCTATGCAAGATGTAGAGACATGTATGGTCTCATGCATGAAACAAGAAGCAAAAGAAAGGGAATATGGGGTTGAGCGAGAGAGCTAGCCGAGGGTAAGGACAAGATTGAGAATGAGATGTTCATAAGAGGCAATCAAGTGAGCGAAACTAGAAAGTGTGTGTCATTATATATGAAACGAAACCGTCTAAAGGTGATGATCCCCTGTGCAAGACGTAGAGATGTGTATGGTCTCATGCATGAAACAGGAAGAAAAGAAAGGGAAAATAGGGTTGGGCGAGAGAGCTAGCCGAGGGTAAGAACAAGCTTTAGAATGAGATGTCCATAAAAGGCAATCAAGTGAGACTAGGCACAAGGAGGAAGAATATACAGATGAGTGTAGTATGTGGGCCTCGTGCATACCTAGATGGAGACACAATGTGTTATCTTGTGAGTGAAACTAGAAGGGAGTGTTTGGTAGCACACTTTTAATAGAATTTAGCCATGGATTTCACCTAAATTCAACCAAATACCAAAAAGAGAGAATCAAATGCAACTCTCCATTAAATTCAATTCTCTCCCGTTTCGTTTGCTTCTCCCCATTCCGTCTCCTCTGCTATGTAAATCCGGATTTATCAAATCCGACTATCAGGCGGATTACATCGCCGTTTCTCGCGTGCTCTCTCTCCGCCGCGAACTGATTGGATTTCGCATATTTGACAAAATCATTTTAACGTAAATCTACGACAGCAGCCAAACACTGCCAAAAGATGGAATGGCGTGTACTTGAGTAGGCATTTGTGAAAGCAACGATCGAGTGTGTGCGTGCAGCTTTCAATCAAGTGAAGGAGGGAGTTGATACGTCTCGACACCAAAATCAGTGAACAAGCCTCGACGAAATCACAATAGATAAGTGGAAAAGACAAATAAGAGCTACTCTTATAAAAATCAAAAGAAAACAAGCAAGCAACAAGGCTGGTCTACTATTTGAGAGGTAGATCGTCTCTCCCACACCTTAGACGTCGTTAGGAACACCACAAGAAGAAAACAAACAACAACCACAAAAAAATGCATGAAAAGGAAAACAACAGTCAAATAAAAACATGCATAAAAATAAACAAACTCTAGGTTCCTCCTTTTAATAAAAATCCTCTCACAGCATTTGAAAACTTTCATTTTTCACTTTCCCACCAAACCTTCTTTAACTTCTCCTAGAATATGTAATTAAACCTTTCGTGGTCCCCACTTGCTCTTTGACCTTCTCTGCCCTATTCTACCACAGCAAAGAGCTCCTTTGTTCCTTCACACGAACAGGATTGACCAGGCAAGCCGATGCTTTGACCTTCGACCAGTCCAGGGGTGAGCGTAACACTACTCCCCTTATAAAGAAGTATCTTGTCCTCAAGGTGAAAGGATGGAAACTACTTGTGGATCACCTCATAAGGCTCCCATGTTGTTACGTAGTCTGACAGTCCTTTTCACTTAACCAATACCTCCTTCGCTCCCCTGCTCCTCGGCACACTCCTTCAATCTCTAGAGGCTCCAGGATCACCTCCAAGTCTTCTACCTTCACCACCACATTCTGTAAACTCTTCCACTTGCTGCCCACTGCCAGAATTTGTACCCATACCCAGCTGCCCTTGCTGCCCTCACCCTGAAAATCTATGCCTCGTCAATATCGGCAACGTGCTTGTTATCCAAAACCCTAAAAATCATCATTTTTGTTGTTTTCTATTGCTGACCACCTCGTCCATCATCCCACCACCACCTTCCAACCCTCGCTAACCCACCACCACCCTTGATCAAATCTTAGCGACTTGTTGTGTCAGGTGTGTTATTATTTCCTATTTTCGTCTAGTTGGTTGTCATTTCTCTTTCAATGTGTGAGTTGCAACAGCTTAATCGACTTTCAAGTAATAATATTTGAATTTTCTATTATGATTTGGGTTAACTCGGTGTCACTAACTATAGCTCATCCCTCAGCAACCTCCTTTCACTTTATCCTCCTGTGGCATGCAACCATGTTTCCTTTCATCATCCACTTATTTTCTTTTAGGTAGGCTAATGGCATAGTTTTAACAATGTTTTAAGCATCTGTTGAAACCAATATGAAAGAAATTCAAATTGATTCAAAGAACAAAGCGAAAAACAAATTGCAAAGTTATTTGAGTTTTGGCTGATATAGGAAAATTTTAGTTGTTTTGATACATAGCGCTTCAAAAATTTCTACCGATTTTTAATCGAAACAAGTAGCAATTAAGGATTCCGAACATTTAAATGAGAAATTAAACTTTCCATTGAAGGGTGATCTAGGATTCTAACCTATTGCCAAAGTATTAAATTACAAAATCCAAATCATAGAGCTAAACATGCGGCTACAGGTAATGATAAATACTTCACATAAATAAATGTGTAGTGGTATGAAGTTTCTTGCTAATACTAGTACTATTTATAGATTCATAGAAAATATTACTTTTGTCACTAAAGATTAAAGAGAATCAACAACAACAAAATCATCGTTATCATTTTTTAATAATAACCGCTCATTATATAATTATTTTAATTGTAAATAATATTTTAAAATGTTTGAATTTTGAATTTATTTATACATATATAATTAATATTTTAAAAATTATATTTTCAAAAACTATTACCAAAAACATAAAGAAACAGAATACTAGAGCCACCAAAACTATCAAAAAGCCACTGAGATTAAATATTTTATAACGGAACTAAAATAGACTTCTAAAAGCTTGGTTAACAATGTTACTAAATTAGCGGAACTAGCAATAAATAATCTACAAAAAAAAATGGCATCATCATATTGTCAAGAATATAAAAAGGAGAGGAATGACCTGACAAAGAAAAAAAAAAACAATCCGTAATAATTCCATCAACATATTTTAGTTATACTTAGTTATACCATAACTTTTAATACAAAGAATCAGAGGAACATTGGGTGAATAAATAACTCTATACTAAAAAAAAAAAGCAACACAATATAATGCAAAACTAACCGCAAGATGTATTTGGTGAGCCGACATGACCAGTTAAAGTGTCACCATCATTCATGGCACTTACAGTACAAGACGACTCTGTCATCCCATACCCTTCAACAATTTGACCTCCAAAACATCTGCAAAAAAAAGCTCAAAGGTATTGCAAAGTACAAGGTAGTTATCAAATGGCATGATGTCTGAAATAATTATATGGCATAAGAAAAATTCATGCAAACTCTAAAAGTTATCTCATACACTTTAAGAAAATCCATGACATCTGGAGATAATGGTGAGGCCCCTGAGGACATAAATCGAATCCGCCCTCCAAGTTTGCCCTTAATTTTGTTGAAAACTAATTTATCCCAAATTGGAGATGGAGTTTTCCCTGTAGAAATGAATAAATTCACCAAGTACGAACAAATTAAATTAATTAAAAAAAGCTTTATGAAGCTATCTAGTTGATGAAACCACCATAACAAATTAAATAAAAATACATAGAAACATTTAGATTATACCTTTCGAGTATAATCAAGTAAAAAGAAGAAGTAATAAAATTTCAATCATATTTTCAATTTTGCTATGAATTAAAAAATGTTTTACCTTCATGCCTATGGTCGTGGTTAACAAGGGCCATTGAAAAGGGATTACTCTTTGCCATCTTAACGAATGAAAGGGACTTCTCTTATTTCTTATCAGAAGTCTTAATCTTATGTTGAACAAGACATCTCATATTGGCTTCTTGTTTCCATTAGTATTTTCTGTCAATTCTTTTTAAACTTCCTTGATGAACAGGATTGCTCACTCCCAATTGCTCCAAGATTGGAGTTTTATTGCCTTCTTAAAACTGTAATTCTTTTTTAGCTTCTCTAAATGAGAAAAATAAATAGCAAGATTTTTTATTTAATAAAACATTATTAGCATGACTTTTTATGATAAGTGCAAAGATAAGTTAAAAAATGATTTTCATATTGCCTTTCTTTGTAAGTGATGCGGGAGCGTCCCTTCCTTTTGAGTAGGACGCAAGAGTGTCTCCCACTTTTAACATGTGACGCACGTGCATGGGACATCCTGCAATTCCAGCGCCTAGAATAACAGTGAGAGTCAACCGGCTCCTCTTAGGTTTGACACCTTTCAACAATGGGTCCAATCCTAATAATCTAGGGCATGTATATTTGCTTCTAGTATTTTAGGTTTTCTCGTGTTTTTTGTCAGGACAACTGTCAGCATCCAGGTTTTCCCTTCTAGGGTTCTATCTGAGGGCGAATGGTGCTCCGGTTATATCTCGTTTCGAGGTGGTGACTCTCCTCCAAGAGTTGAATGGTTCTCCGGCTGTAACTTGCTTTCAAGGTGGTGTTTATCCTTCCCTAACTTTTTTGCATCCCTTCCGCTTCACTAGGACACATTCCTCGCAGCAATCTGCCCCCGCAACAGCCCTTTTGTTGTTCTTCCTATAGAACCATCCCAATCCAGCAGGTTTCATGTTGACCCAGCCGTTCCCCTACTGATTCTGCATTTCCAGCCATTACTAACATCCTTCCCTCCCCCCATACTTGTTGTCGCCACCTCGGGCTAGTAACTCTTTGTTGTTCCAGCCCCTTCTAGATCTCCCCACCCATCCAGACTTGTTGCCTCCACCCTGAACAACAGCCTCCACATCTGTCCATTTTGCAAGGCGCCTCCCCTGTACCACCGCCACCGCCACCTTTTTCCTTATTGCCACCACCCAGAACAACCCCTCCACGTCGATCTCGGTTGCATGCTTGTTTTCCAAGCACCTACGAAACAATTGCCTTGTTGTTTCTACTTGCTAACCGCCCCTTTTCACCACTCAGCCACCTACCATATCGTCATCAATCACCCTCACTATCCTTTGATCTAACCATTGTTTGGAGTTTTGTCGTGTCACTCATTATTTCATATTTCTGAATGTTTTGGATTGTAATTCCTATTTGATTTCAATAATAAAAGTTGCATTTCCCCTTGTTGTTTATTTAACTCAAATATCAGTAAGACTATGTGTTTGGGGCGGATATTGTTTTTTGAAGAAGCAGCTCACAGGTGATATCCGAAAGTTGCGTTGGAATAGGAGTTTATTTGAATAATCTGATGTTCTACAACTATTTTTGATGAAAAAAGACAGTTATGTCCATATAAATGTAATTTATCTGAATGATTTTAGTTTTCAAAATAATTGCATAATAGTAAAAACATGTCCAACAATACAAAAAACACGTTAGAAGTCAAAATTTCTCCAATACAACAATTGTTAGTCATCAGTTCACGCATAAAACCATAATAATAAAAATTACAACAATAACGATCAAGGATATAATGACGCTCGCCTTCATGTCCAGACGATCAAAACTTTGCAAAAATTTTTATTCATAGCATCTCTCCTCACTTGATCACTACCCAAAGCAAACTCATCTGTATCATCAGCCCAAAAAAATACCTGCAATCTTCACAAGTTTTATTTCTAGAACAGCAATAAAATACCTACAAAATCATTTTTCCTGTGATTATAATATATTATGGATTTAATTGACAAATGTTTGGTTTCATAATCAAAAAAAAAATTAGAAAGTAGACATCAACAAATTTTTTATACAGAACACTACATAAACATATAAAGCAGACAACTATGAATCATCAATACATCTGAAATAATAAATATCTATAATAAGACACTACCAAACAATATATAAAAACAATCAATGAATTTACCAAAGCATTTGCAATCTTTTCTCTTAACTGGATCTTCTCTTAAACATTATCCCATTCGAATGTGTTCAAGTCATTCGTATCAAAGTCATCATCAAGAACAATTGTCAGACCCAATGTTTAAATGCTTCGACAGATATGCATTTTGGATCTTCATCTAAGAGCCTCAAATCAATATTGTCCTAAGATGGATATCTCTGTATAAAATTATGGAGTGTTGACATTGTAAAAACTAACTTGACCTCTTTTTTGAAGGAATATATCGACATATCTCGGAATATAACTCACTTCTTTTTTCATACACTGAATGTTCTCCCAATAACACTTCATAATGATAAGTATCTTTTGTTGAATAATTCATTCCTCTCTAATCACATGACTGTTGTGCTCAAAATCTGAAAGATAATACCTCGTGTCAGGGAAGGACTTCAAGAAACATTGCAATGGATATGCCGAATCGACGAGAAAATATTCCCCTGAATAATAATATTATTACTAGATATTCTCAAATCAAACACTTCATATACGATCATGAATGTACTAATCATGTGGGGGTATTGGAAATTTGCATTTATGTGGTCGGGTTGCAAATTTAAATATTTGACTATTATAAGTACTCTCTTTTCATCCAGTCATCAAGAATGTAAAATACACTGCAAAAAAATCTTTAGACTATTATTTTTTCTAGTAAAATAACAATGCAAAAATAAATATAAATATTGAAACCTTGAAAAACGGCATATATCTCATATTACTACAGATTTCGCTCGGTGTATGCACAAAAGAAGGATCTATGGGTTTCACAATGTTGTTGAGAAAACATTCGTTGTATGGAAGAAAAAATGAATCATACTTCAAGATATGCCAACATATTCCTTCAGAAAACATGTCAAGATAATTGTTGATACGACAGTTCTATAAAATTTTATAATGATGTATTTTTTGTTGAAGAATTCATTCCTCCTTCTAATCACTTGGTCGTTGCATTCAAAATCATGAAGGTGGTACTCGTGTCAGGGACGGCTTCAAGAAACATCGTTGTACTGGATATTCTGAATCAATGAGTTAATATATCTCTGAATAGTAATATTATTACATCAAATCCTCGAATCAAATGCTTCATATATGGCCATGAATGTACTAACCTAGTAGAATCATTTAAAATTTGTATTAAGGTCGCTGGGTTACAAATTTGAATATTCGACTATTATGAGAATTTTCTTCTCATCCAACATCAAGAATGTAAAACACATTGCAAAAATTCAATAGACCAGTACTTTTTTTATTGTAAAACACTAATGCAAAAAATAAATATAAATATTTATACAATGAAAAACGATATATCTCGTACCACTACAAATTTCTCTCGATGTAAGTACAAAAACAAGATCCATGGGTTTCACAATTTGGTTGACAATATTACTAAAGAGTTAACCCCAATATCGAAACATTTACTAATCGTCCCAATGAGTGCTAAAATCGCTCAGAAGCAGCACAAATGGACTCATTGTAGGACAATGTATAATGTGATGGCTAGAACTTCTCTGGATGTAAAGCGAATGATCCATGCAAATCGTAAGTACTCTTCAATTCATCTAGTAAATCACAAATAATTCTTCTCGACATTTGAAACATACTATGAATTCTTCTTGGCTGAGCTTCGAGCAGCTCACCAACTACGTGTCAACCACAGATAACGATGACACACCCAAGTTTTGCACAAATTTGTCTGATAGTACTTATTAATAAGGCATTGTTGTAGTCCTAATTGTAGTCCTCTTCATCTGATTGTCCCATTTGGTTATTAAATGGACGTTAGAACATATAGAAAAGAAGAAGTTATGCTGGAAGTCAAAATCAATGCTGAAATGACTCATGATTAAATACAGAAATGCCACATAAATATGATATAATATACTCTTCAACATAAAAGTGTCAATTAATACGAACCACAATTCGAAATAGTAATAAAAACATAAACTAACTAGGCATTGTCTAAAAAACAGCAAAGGTATGGACTCCTTCATTCCGACACCAACGTGAAGAAGCCTCTCACTTATTTTGATCCTCTAGAAGTTTTATAACAAATAAATACAGAGACAACATCAAATATCACCGAAGTCTAGTAGCTTCACAACATTTGTCATAGTAGGTTATCCCTATAGAGTTGTGCGAGCACTGGATGTGATATTGATGTAGGTCGTAACGAACTATGATATTTGCTCAGATAAATCTTGGGCCCTAATCTTTATTTTCCTTTTAAACTTATGAGAGGAGGGTGTAGGGCGTTTAGAATGACTTGATTTGCCTTGTTCTCTCTTATGGTGCTTCCTCTTGAACTTCATTAGAATGAACAAATTCAAGTTCATCCAAATGGGGAGGTACTGTGTTATTGCTCAGACATTGGAGCGTGTAGCTACAATATCAAGAAACACAACATCAAGTTGTTCCTTCAGCTCGGGTTATATGGCAGGACCTACAATCGATAAAATTGCAGTTCAATAAAATCGTAGTTGAATAAAATCACAATTCAATAAAATTGAAGTTTAATAAAACATGTTCTACTTACTAAATTTTTTTCTCCCCACCACTCCCTAATGCATACGCTGTTCTCTTAATAGGGTCACAACCTAATCCAATAGCCACTCGTTCAACTCCTTCCACAATTTTCAATCTTTTTTGAGTTGAACTCATTTGTTCTTCAATTAAAATTTGTCATTCAATATTCCTTTTTTTTATGAAAAGTTTTGGTAATTTTGTATCAACCTTTCTTATTTAAATGCATAGTCAGTCTATTGTCAATTTCTACCTCTTTTAAACGTAAATCATAGAATATGTTATTTATCTCTCTCTCCCAAATGATTGATATTCCACCTTCCTTTTGTTTACATATTTGATGTATCACGTAAATAAAACATTTAGACTAAGAAATATAATTTAGCAGTTAAAAAAATAATTTTAAAATCTGAAACAAAATAAGATAAAAAAACAATAGATCGAATTAAAGCTCATTCAAATTAATCTATCAAAGAATACTCTATCCGAGAACACCAATTCTATCATACAAGTTTTATAACCAGGAAGTATATGTGATTAACAATGACACGTGTGATCTAAAAACAGGTAGTATCCGTAGTTAATAGTGTGATGTGTGCTTTAAGACCAAAGAATATATTGATAAACAGTGGTATCTGTGATCTACGATTGGGTAATATCCATATTTAACAGTGTGATTTGTGCCTTGAGACCATGTAGCATCTGTGATTAACAGTGACATGTGTGATCTATAACCAGGTAGGATCCGTAGTTAGCAGTGTGATGGTTGTTTTAAGGTCCTGTAGTAGTTGTGATTAACAATGGCATGTGTGATCAATGACCATGTAATATTTGTAATTAACAATGTGATGTGTTTTAAGACCAGGTAATATCTGTAAGTAATAGTGACATGTGTGATATATGATCAGATAGTATCCGTAGTTAAAAGTGTGATGATTGTTTTAAAACTAGGTAGCATCTATGACAAACAGATAAGGACAATTATATAAATGAAATTGATGATCGATTAAGCTCTTTATTGTTTTTCCATCATTACTCTATATAACATTACAAAAATCAAAGGCATCAAAACCGCACTTCAAAACCATCAATGCAACACCACAAAAAAAAACTAGAGTCAACACCTACCAAAAGTCAACGTTGAAAAACTACAACCACACCCACAACCAGCAACCAACACAAACAACCAAACCATACTCGCACCAACAATCAACAGGTAAGAGAGAACACCAGGCCACAGAAATCAAACGTATCACTCCATCTTCACATTCAAGCGACAAACAATGAACCACCACCACCACATAATAGGAATTTCAAATTCGTAAAATGGATAGTAACAAACCACCACCACATGGGACAACCGGGAAGCGACAATGACATTCAAACATTGAACATCACATAATTCATAAATTATACATACGAAAGAGAGCTAAACTTTAATATTTACTTATCTAACACTCAAATCTTTAGCATCACAAAAATAATTTTTAAATGCTAGATATGTACACGCATAAGAATGGTGTGATGTGCATGTAAATTCCCCTTTAACTAATAATTCACATTTCGAATGGCAAAAACCAAACCACCATAGAGGAATACCAAAAAGCCCAAGATCACAACCAATTCAATTTCATGCAACAAGCACCAAACCACCACCATCACATAATAGGTAAACTAGGAAGCCTCATCGACAACACCAAAAGCACCAAATTACCAATAGAGAGGAGAACCAAGAACCACATAATAGGCAAAACCAAATAGATAAAATGAAAAGCAACATACCACAACCACAGAGGGCAATCGGGAAACCAAAATAGCAGTCCATCTCTAGCACCAAACCACCAACAGAGAAGAAAATCGAGCTCAACAAGGAACCAAATAGGTAAAACGGAAAGCAAGATACCACAATCACAGAGGACAACCAAAAAGCCCCATCGACACCACCTCAAGCACCAAACCACCAATAGAGAAGAAAACTGAGAAGCTCAGCAAGAAAAACTAATATGTAAAATGGGAAGCTACATACGACCAACATAAAGGACAACTGTGAAGCTGCATTGGTACCACCTCAAGCACCAAACCACTAATAGAGAGGAAAATCGAGAAGCTCAATATAGAAAATAAATAGATAAAACTGAAATCAACATAGCACTACCACAAAGGACAACCACAAAGCCACATTGGCACCACCTCAAGCACCAAAGCACCAACAAAGAGGAAAACCGAGAAGCTCAACAAAGAGAACAAATAGTTAAAATAAAGAACAACATGCCACAACCAAAGAAGACAACTGGGAAGCACCATCGGCATCACCTCAAACAACCTGAAACAACAAGAAGCAAACCACCAAGAGAGAGAAAAACCAATAAAGATAATATGCAAAACACTTTGGTAATATAGAAAGCGTCAAACAATCACCACAGACAACTGAGAAAGAAAGACGAAAATTTATACATTCAGAGAGAGATGGCGAAAGGTGGCAGTAGCGAAGACGAACAAAACAAAAAAGGGACCAAAGAACCGCAATTTTTCCCTAAAGCCACAACGAAGCTGAGTGGAGGAAGAAGGATACTATTAGGGATAAAGGGAGGCATTCATCGAATTGTAGAGGGGTAGGTTAGTATTTTCCCACCCGAACCACACCCTATACCGCGGAACGGAGGCAGTCAATGTCTTCCAGAGTTTCGCTGCTCCAAAAGCGCTCTCCCAAACGGCCAGTCAGTGCTTTTCAAAACGAAAAGTAAATGAAACGCTCTCCCATATGCATCCTATCTCTAATATTTAGAGAAGGTTCTACCTGGTTTCCTATTTCTACACACTTATTTATAGCTTTAATTAAGTCCTACTTGAAGACATTTACTATTCAAGAATTATATTACCAAGAGTTTTATTATATTTTCTACTTTTCTTCCATTTAAATCACCCGAAATGAAGGGAATGTTAATTATTTTTCAAACGGAAAGAGGGTGGAGAAGTTACTTTTGCTTTGATATTATCAATTGGCTTATTTTTAAATCAACAATCAATAAAGGGAAAAAAATTATTTTAATCAACAAAATCTAATAGTAGAATCACTTTCCTAAAATTTCTTTTGGGTTATTATTTATAGCTGTTTTTTTTTTTATTTTGTTCATCTTTAGTATTCTGTTTTTTCCTCATGTATATGTTTTGTAATCCCCTTTTCTTTAATGACAAGGATTCACCTATATTTTAAACAAAAAGAAAATTTTAAGCAAGATTATTCCATTCATCTGTTCTTTAACATTTTATTTTTCATTATTTTTCATTTTAAAGACTCCTTTTTTTCTTTCAGGAGGTCATTCTAAACTCGGGCCTTCATGGTTACTGTGATTGGACAATAATTATTCAATGAACTGTGAAAATTTTAGCAAGAAAGAAGGACAAGAGAGCTTCATAGCCAGTCACCCCACCCAAAAAATGAACCTTCTTTTACTTGCCTTGAAGATATAGTGACACAATACTGAGAACTCAGTTGTATTTATATTGCCCACACCTATTAGACTCCATGGAAGCCACATTTCCATCTTAAATTTGTCTAATATTTAGTCCCTAATGATTGTGTTTAAGATGTAATAACACAAGGCTTTGAGAATTCAATTGTAATTATATTGTTCATATCTGCATCATAATCATCACATCGTTGCCACACCTCTTCGACCCAATGGCAGCCATTTCACCTCCCTCTTAAAGTTATCCTAGATTTAGTCCCAAATGATTTTGCTGATAAATAAGTCACATAAATACAGCTATGAAATTAGCTTTCTCCCAAAACCTTTTCACAAAATATTTCACCTTTATCCTATATTAAAGATGCTTTAAAATGCACACCTTTGTTACTACAACAAACGCATGTTCAAATTTCTTGCAATAAGTACTGATAAAATATTGTAATGTATGAAAAAATTAAAAGCTTTGTGAAAAATACAATGATATTCGATCAAATGAAACAAAACAATATGATTTAAAAAGAATCATTCAAATCAGATTTTAAACTCAATTGCTGCAATGATATTCTAACCATCAGTCAAGTTGTACTGGGTTATTTTAAAGGTATATATAATAGCATAAAATAACTAGAAATTCAACAATGAAAAGTGTGAACAAGATCAAAATTTCCCAACAATCCAATGATCTTCTCCCTAACACCACTTCAAAATATGTCAGCTCATATTACATGACAGAATGTTTTTATACATACCACATAATCTCTATATATTTACATATCTAACGTCTAAACTTTCATTTTTACATTTATAACACTCAAACTTCATATCAAATTAAAAATAACACTATTATTAAATTTCAAAAAGTGAAATACATTTTTTCGTGCATAAGTAAAGTGTTAAAATGTAAAAATAAAATTTAGGTGTTAGATATGTTAATATATAGGAATTGTGTGGTATGTATTGAAATCTTCCTTCTATTTACTGTTGCCGTTCAGAGAATAATACAATTGTGCAATCACATATTATGATGCATCAGATACAAATTTTTCTAGAACTTTCACATACATCATTTGTACTTGAACATAGTAAATTTGTCTCATTGCTCATACTCATACCCAGAATAACAAGAGAGCGGTGATCAGGTGCAAAAAGTAAATTCAGAATGTAATAATGTATTACCACTATATATGGCTTGCAACTTCGCATTGTAAGCAACATTGAATAATCTCTCCTTCAGTCCCCCAGATGTCTTCACAGCATTCATAACACTACAGCCATTTAAATGTAAAAGGCAACAATTTCAGAAGCATTCTAAAAAGGAAAAATTTAATGCAGAGGATCAGAACATCACCCAGCATAAATTCTGTTATACAATCTAGGAACACTTGCGAAGATAGTGGGCCGGAGAACAGCCATATCATCCATCAATTTCAGATTATCCTGAGATTAGATGTCGGTCAACTCACTTAGTAGATGTAACCAAGAAATTAATGCTAACAAATTGACACAGTTCATCCTGGTATAATTTTTCTTTAAAAAACAATGAAACCTAAGAGTAGTATAATGCGCCACTTAAAAAATAAGCTGTCATATTCAATCTGCTAAGGAATCTGAGAAGACATCAAATGCTACTTATTTATCAATGCCAAGGAATCAGAGCAGAAGTTTTAATGAGGTCTCTTGCTCACGTATCAATGGCTCATGTATATTTTCAGTTCCTATATCAATGGTGTTATCTAAAGTTGGTCTTCACATTGGAAAGAAGATTATAAACTCGTATCAGAGTTTACTTGAATAAAAAATGTGCAGCATTCTTTTTCTTTCTGAGGATATTTAACAATTCATTAAAATTAATTATGCTAATGTATGCTTGCTAAGGATTTTTCTTTACATACTATTTAAAAAAGGCCATCTTTAAATACAAGAGCTATTATTACCGGATGAAGCATTTAACTTGATTTTGAAGATTCATCCTCTGATAATGAAGAGAAATATGACTGTGTTGATCTGGCTGGTGTATTTTCAAACAAGATTTTAAGTATCATGTTGTCATTGTATATTTTCTTATATAACATATAAATATTAAAAGATGATTAATTTCTTTTGTTTCTAAGTTATGCATGTTGAAGAAGATTATCCAAAAATCAGAAGTCTGTCTTTAATGAAGAACTTAGTCTTGTTGTATTTTGATGATCTGGAATGGAACTAAGAATATCAACTGAGCTGGGTAGCTCATTGTTCTATAATTTGAACATTCTTGCCACAAACATTCTGAAAGTATTGGCAAAGTTATAAATTGTTTTTTAATCATTAGTGGCCTTTTTTTCAATCAAATTATTAGTATAATGCTGCTTTCTTTTCCCATCGAAATAGGGACAATTTATTATTTATGGCTACTAGGTGTTATAAGAACTTATTAACTATAAATGCCAAGACTTTAGCTAGAAAAAGTGAGTTTTTCAGGTGAAATTTATTCTATTTGGGAAGGATTTCACCTAGGAGAAGTGGTGATAAGGAAACCATAGTAGGGTAAGATTTTGCCAAATTAGTTGCCAAGCCTTCTAGCCTACCCTATTGTCTGTCAGTCTCCCATTCTAAGAGTTTATCCAATGTTTAGCAAGTTTTTGAGTGGAATTCTTGAAGTAAAGGATTCTCAGTTGTCCGAATTTGACATTACCAAAGCTGTTTTGAGAAAGCTGGTATCCAGAAATAGGTCCATTCTGGTTGTTGTGTCCTATTCCAGGACTAAATCATACCTGGTGATGACGCCTTGATGATTTCCTAAGCTCATGAATTGAATTCAGCCAGCTTACAAATAGCTAATGTCATTTCAGATGCATCTTTAAGATCCATTTCAAATGATCTCATATTAGCAAGAATTTGACACATGTTATCTGACTATGGGATTTTACTATCAAATGATACTACGAAAAGTATGAGATAATTATCAAGTCCCTTCGAGCAGGTAATTCGCCGCAAAAATTGTACCATTAAACTACAATCTCAGCTAAATCCTAAAGTTCTCAAATAGTTTACATTTCCTTAAGTAGTGAATTACCTAGGACATTTAATTGAGCACATTGCATTATTTCACAAAGATCGATGTAAAGTTATTTCTTCAGGAAAACATCCACCTCATATCTATAAGATCTCCACAAACGACAAAACACATTGCAACTGAAAAAGGTCATTCGGTCTATCATTTTCACCGACTAAGTTAAGGTACACGACAACTCAGACAACATGACCATAAAATATTAATCGACTTTGTAATCATTCTACTACCATCCATTATAAATTAACATTGATAAATTAATCGAGTTTGTAATCATTCCACTACTATCCGTTATAAATTAACATGGATAAATTTCCTCTACTTTAAACCAAATTGCTATTACTAAATATTAAACACTAAACAATAAGCATATGAAAACTAACAACTAGCCTAAATCAAAAGTTTTCTTTAGTTAAAGGAAGAAAAAATTAACCATAGAGGATCGCCGCGATAAGAAACTGCAAACTAGATCATAAAATCTTTGTAAAATGAGGGCGAAATCTCTGGGTGTTGTCCTAATCTTCCTCTTACACATTTGACCAAGAAACACCACATAAACACTCTATGCAGGCTGGTACACGAATTTATAGAGCCTATGAGGATGAGGAAACTATAATCCTTAGTCTTATCAAGATTGGTTGCCAAGTTTTATAGCCTACACCATTATTCAATGGTTCTCATAGCTAAGAGTTCATCCACCAGCTAGAAAAGGTTCGGGTGGAAATCTTGAGGTAGAGGAATCTCGGTTGACGAATTTCAACATTACCTTGGTTATTTTGAGAAGGCCAATATCCAGAAATTGGTCCATTCTGTTTGTTGCAGACAATTCCAGAACCAGATCATACCTAATGAAACAGCCTTGAAGTTGCCTTCACAATTGATTTCAACCAGCAGTAACCCCAAAAGCTGGGATAATTGCCAAGAAATCTAATTGAGCAGTAAATTTCTTAAAACCAGATGACATTTAAACAGGTTGGCCAAACCAAAATTTAGGTTTGAAGCATTTGAGTATAGAGGAAACAACATCTGTTGGGTATTCTCTTTCTCTTCACGGCCGCATGATAATGAGAAATTGAACAGATTTAGAAAGAAATTGTAATTTGAGTATTAAACGATTACTATAAACCTGATTCATATATATTTAGAGTTCAGCCTCTAGTCTACACTTTATCTGGGGTAAACTTCTGTAATTGTGTGTCCAATGTATTATCTAGTATCCAGTACGGTATGCAACTGCAGTTAAATTATCTGAACGTCAAATGTTGAGTTTAATTATTGTCTTTAAGTAGATTTTTGCAACAGCGACAATATGTGCCACGACTCGACCCAGCGCTTAGAATTTTCTATGACAGGAACAGACGGTCGAACAATGAAAATCAAACTTTTCTATTTTCATTTTTTTAAAACCAACATTTAATAATCTAAAAATAAATAAAATGCACTACATGTTCAAGAATTAAGTTAAACAAACAATAAATTTACCTTAGTTAATATTGTTCACGCCATTTATAAACATTCATTTCTTTCTTACTCATCTTTAAATAAAAACAAACCCTTAAAATTAATTTAAAACAAGTTATAAAAGCCAATAAGTACTCATACTGCTAAATTATAATAACACAATGAAAAATATAGTAATATGAATGCTAATCAAACATATAATAAATTAGTACTTAATAAATTACTTTTTCAATGAGATCGTTCAAGATGATTTAAAGTTAAAGCATACAATGTGTACATATCTATATCCTTTTATATATATGCAAATGCAACCATCATAGGAGCACCTCATAAAATTGTACAGATTAAGGTCCTGTGATATCAATATTTTTTTACATTTACGTGCACGAGTATCTTAATATACCCTACTAATACCAAAAGAGAGTGAACTTTATCATAGTTAACATTTACATGCAATCACTTTATTTAGTTCATATCAGCCGCATTTTTATATCATTCAGTATATAAATACCTTATAAATAATATATAAATCTTTTCATATTGAAATACTTAAGACATTCATATTAATATGACCAACAAGACTTAAGAATAGATGAATCAAAGTAAAATCCTACAAACGCATTGTAATTCATCAAAAATATCCATGCAACAAGTTTAGAATAAGTCAATAATATTACCATAACTTAGAAGTAAGAGTACTCAGCTTGAGCTCAAAACATTATTTATTTTTATGTTTTATCATCTTCTCTTCAAAAACTACCTGCACTAAAGGATGTAATATTTTCTTATTAATTTTTCTTTAAATTATAATTTAATTTTAATTATTTAGTAGCATTCTTACTCTTAATTTATTTAATTTAAAATATAATCTACGATTGAAACATTTCTATTTTTTTAGGACAATAAAAGTGAGCACTATAATTTTATTCTTTTTATTTATTTATTTATTTATTTATTTATCTTCACTTTTTATTTTACTCATATACCTAAAACTTGTTCGTAGAAAGTCAATTTTTTTAATTATAATTAATTAAACTTTAATTTTTCTTAAATAATATCATCTCAACATTTCATATAATAAAGCATTAATAAAATAAGTAATCCCGACCTTAATTAATATGCTTGAACTGAAGTTCAATGAATAGGAGTCATTTGCCCTGACCTACCTAATTTGTTTGCTTCACTCTGGAACCTGCACGAGACCCCCCTTCACATTAGCAAAATCGCGCATGCGTCACACTATTCACCTTCATGTGTGTCGACCCGAGATAACCTTGCCATCTTATCTTTCGTTCTCTTGACTCATGCACGAATTGATCGTCATCTTCCGCCCTCGAGCTGTTCAACGAAGCCCGACGATTGTTGTTGCTTGATCGCGTTTGATTGCTCTGCCTCCGACCCACTGCTTCCCTTCTTAAATAGTCAAAATTTGATGGCTGCAAAAAAGCTTTCGCTCCTTCACCGTACAGCTTCCTTTCTTACTCCATTCACGGCCCCTCTTAAAGACTTGATTTGTTGCCCCCCAATTTGTAACGCTTTCATTACAAGGATTTAAAAAAAAATTTGGGAGTTACAATCTTTCCCCGCTTAAAACAAATTAATACTCAAAATTTGCATATCATAACTTTGTTTATAATTATATGATTATCATAATTTTTTTTTAATTTTCAAATTAAATTTCTACTTTAATTATCATATTGACTCTTTCATTAAGATTCATATTACTTAATCTAAACCTGGCTCTCTGATACAACTTTTGTCATGACCTGGCTCAAGACTTGTAAATTTTAAAGGCGAGTATAGCCGAACAGTAAAAAATAAACTTCCCTTTTTTTCTTTTATATAACTAACATTTAATAATACAAAAATCGATGAAGGAGACACTAAAGATTTAAAAATTAAATTAAACAAATGATAAGTTTATCTTAGTTCAGGTTGTTCGTGCCTTCTATAAACATTTTATTCTTTATTAATTATATTTAAACAAAAAGCTTAGACCTAAAAAGATAATTTAAGACGACAGTAAGCTAGAAAAGTAAATGAATATGTATACTTCTAAACTATAATAACACAATGAAAGAGAAATAATACGTAAGTTAATTAGACATAATAAATTATTATAAAACATTTAGATATATTACATTTTTCAATTAGATCGTTCAATAAGATTTAAAACATATAATATAACACACAACCGTCATAGAATTGTTGTCTAAAATTGTATTATTTAAGGTATTTCAATATCAATATCATTTTTCATTTGCGTGCACAGGTACCTTAGCAAGTACTATATGAGGTTGAGTTTCATCATAGTCAACATGCACATACAATCACTTTATATAGTTCATACCAATCAAATTTTTATATCACTCATTATATAAAATCTTATAAATAATGCATGAATATTTTCATATTGAAATACTTAAAACATTCATATCAATATGATCGGCAATACTTAGAAATAGATGAAGCAAAGTAAAGTCTAACAAATACATCAATCATGTATTAAAAGCTATACATGCAGCTGGTTCGGAAGAAGTGAATAATATTAGTATAACATGGAAATAAGATAATCATCTTAAGCTCAAAAATTAATTTATTTTTATCATACATCATCTCTTATTCAAAATACTTGCATTTAAGAATGTAACAATTTATTATTACCATTTGTAAATTAAAATTTAATTTTACTTTTTGGTAGCACTCTTACTCTCAATTTATTTAATTATTAAAAAGAATCTATTATTGAAATATTTCTAATTTTGAGGGACATTAATAGTGAGTACAATAATTTGATTCTCTTCACTTAATTTTTAACTTTTTTATCCTTTGTTATTTATTTTACTATATACCTAAGTCTTATTCATAATTTTTTTTATTTTACTATTATTATTAATTAAACTTCAAATTTTTCTTGAGTAATATCATCCAAAATGTCAAGTGCGCCGACTCGAGATAGCCTTCCAGTATTATTTTTGGTCCTCAGCCCTCAACCGATTGTCGTCCTCCACCCTTGAGTTGCTAGGCAAAGCCCACTGATCGCTTGCTACCACATGGTATCGATTGCACCGCCTTCGGCTCTCTGATTCACTTGTCTACCTTATAGCTTCCTTTCTCTCTTCATTCTCGTCTCATCCAAAAGGCTTGATTTGTTGCCCTCCGATTTGTAACGCTTGCAATACAGCATTTAAAAAAAAAAAGCCAAACATTACAATGGCTGGTGGCGGTGGTTAGCAAGAAGCAATAGAGGTGGTCAGCAGAAAGCAGCGACGATGAGCTATAGTTTACAGCATATATGAAAAGCACCCAACTTCTGAATACACCAATTTTGAACAACAATATCAATTCCAAATTTATAAAAATTTTATACTACATTCCGTTTTCATCCAACCAAAAGCCAAAATTTTGAGAGCACCTGCATTTAGTTTATGTTATATCACAGATCCATCAAACCAAACAACCCCTTAGCTAAAATCTCCCTACGAAGGTGCTAACCTATGAAATTTTTTTGTTCGATTAGAGCTTTAATCTCCATCTTCATGAAAATTAGGACTTAGGAGGCATACCTTGAGTATACTAAGGCTTCATTTGAATGACTGCTAAAATTGAGTTCAACGTTTTAAAATGTCAAAAAAAATTCACAAGTGGCTCCGCTTTAATGCTTTCCTAAAACTGCTTTTCACAAAACACCATTTTTTGGTCTTTTTGGATAACAATATCTGCTAGGCTTTAAAACACTGCCTTATATGAAATAGAATTTAAACAAACTTTTTCAAATAAAAAAGTCAACCAAACGAGCCCTAAGAGAGGCAGAAATAGGTTGCATCACTGCAGCAGAAGAGTTTGACTGGAAATGGATTAATGACAGATAAATTGAGCACTCTTAAAATCATATGCATACTGATATATGTATGCTACGAAAGCAGCATCTAGAATATCATTTTTAGCACTAATAATGTGTAAGGGTGGTATCATAAATAGAATAAGAAAACTGAAGATGTTTAACGTGGAGACAACTAGCCTGACGCATTCTTCATGTTCAAATAAAGGCATGAAGAGTAAACTTTCCTTCATAATATATAAGAAGACAACATGATACAAATATTAGAGTTTCTAAGATTTTATAATTACCTGTGAAAAAAAAAAGTATTATGCAAATGATTCATATTTTACAAAAATATTCCATCATCAAAGCTTTGGGTAGTCTTCATGAGGATTAGGCTAGAGTATAAAACTGGCAGTAATATTCAGATTTAAGAAATAAAAACATGGGCATTTAAATACATACCACTCAATTCCTATGCATTTACATATCTAACACATAAACTTTACTGTTAACATTTATACCACCCAAATCATTCCAACGGCATAAAAATACCACCACCACCATTTTAACTTTTAAAAGTGAAATATAACTTTCATGAATAAGTAAGGTCACATGAACATAAAAACTGAAGTTTGGGCGTTAGATATGTAAATACATAAGAATTGAGTGGTATATATGTATATCTTCCAAATAACAAAAAAGAAACAGAAGTGCACATTATTAGAACAAAGAAGCTTAAACTGAAAGGGGATTGCTACCCACCCCCTGATAAAATCCAACAGCAACTCCATAATGTGCCGCTCCAATTTGATTGACTCTCTCGTAAATGTGTGCCAACGGAAGATAGGATATATATCTGCACACATGTAATAAGTAACTTTGAAAATACTTCCAATTGACTAGAAACATATGGTAAACACCTAGGTTCCTGAGGTTTGAGCTAATAAAAGTAAGGTTTCACAAATTTTAACAAGTAATAATTCCAAAATTGTTCCATTTAGAATTTCCATTAACAAAACTATCATAGGTCGTTAGTTGATTCAATAAAGACATTACAACCCTAAAAAATAAAACTAATTCTCATTCAGAAACTCTAAGAAATTCTTAGTGGTCATTTGGATTCACTTTTGGTTTTTTTGTTTTGAATTTTTTGTTTTTTAGTTGTTTTGTTTATCTTTCCACTTGACACAAAATATATTTGGTATGTTTGATTAAGATATAGCTATTTTTATAATTGACAATATTGTCGGTGGCATGTGAATGGGTGGATGGCGGTGGAGAGATTAAGAAGAAGTTGAACTGGTAAGAACTAAAGCATGATTTACCCCACAAATTTTGATAACAAGGGACACTCACATGTCAGATGGATAAAATTTGACACGCATGCTACCTCCAGCAGAATTTGCAATCAAATTTCCATGGGAGAGTACTGCACCCTAAAACATATCATATCATCTTCTCAGGCAAAAGAGTGCAAAAAGTAAGAAAAAATAGCAACCTAACGGAAGGCAAAAGAAGCCAAATACAAGCCATTTGGGCTGCCGAAACAACAGTTTCAGTGCTTTTACCGAAATAACAATTACAATAATTGAGCAATGTAAGAAAAAGATCATACCTTTGGTGTACCAGTTGTCCCACTTGTATAGCATATAGTTGCAACATCCTCAAACTTTGGGGGGTAAAATGGCTTGAGATTACTGTGACCCTAAATGAAGATAGTAAATTATTGGAAAGAGGAAAGAGTGAAAAGTAATCAAGGACTTCAAATCCAATAGGCAACAGGCCAGCATTAAGAATCCCCGGTTCCTTTCATTTCTACTAAGTATTGCCCAAGGAATTCAATCTCTCGTTTGTAAATAATTTTGAACAACTTTTATCAATATTTATTTTAGCTCTAAGTATTTTCATTCTTAATCGAGTAATGCAAATTCTATTCTCCTCTAATGGGTATATTTTACACTCCTTATAGTCCATGTCCAAAAAACCTAGGTCATGTTAATCCCAAAAGCCCAAAAAGCTTAGTCAATACTTATAGCTGATGTTATTTGCATAGCTGGTGTCATGCTGAAGCAAGCAAGCGACCATGCTAAAGTTTACTATGAGTCACGAGAGAGAAGTAATGGCTGGCTAGGGCATCAACACAGAGACAGCAAATACATAGTCGGAGAGGGAAGATGGAGAGCGGAGCGCTCAGCAGAGAAAGCCTGTGGTAACAGAACATGTGAGACATTGCATAGAGCTAGCTGTAAACAACAGAGGGAGAAACATGAGATGGCAAGGGAGCACGAGGGAGGACGACGAGGCGAGGGAAGTCGTTCGAGGGACGAGTGCGGATAAAAGGGAGAGCAAACAAGCAGGCTGGAATGATGCGGCAAGGCGGAGGAAAAATAGTGCAGCTGTAATGCGAGCAGGCGAAGACAAGAAAGCCGGATAGCGGGTGTGTACCAGCGCATCACGAATTCCGTAGTTTTGTTAACGCATTAATTCATCGTTTAAAATAACATTCCGCAACGTAATAGCCTTTTCACGCCAGAAAAAGGCTATTATAACGGATTAAAAATTAAACATTCTGTCAGTAGTGAATTATAATGGATACCAGTTTGTGTGTTTTGTTGTGTTATGATGGCTATATGTATGGGGTTTAATCTTTCTTCTGTCTTACACTATCATTTCCACTGTGGTGGTTTGGAGCTTTTTGCCCTAAAATTTGCTGTTGATTTCTCTGTGCTTGTTTGAATTTGGAAAATATTTAGTTGTTTGCATTTCCTATGGGCATTTCTTATCGGGTTGATGTTGTAGTTTGCATTTGGGAGAGACGTTCTTCTCTTTGTGGGCTCGAAAATGTCTGTGAGGGTTTGATCTCTCTGTTGGGAACGTGGGGAAATGAGCATTTCACTCATAAGAAATTAATAGTGGTGATATTTTTTATGTGATGTTAAAATTTTGAATGTTATAAATATTAATATAAAAGTTTAGGTGTTACAAATGTAAATACATAAGAATTGTGTGGTACGTATGCAAGTAGCGCTTGATTCTTATGATTAGACATAAAAGTAGATGATGATAAATACAGATTTGTGTTATAGCGAGCTTACCTGTTCATGAAGTTTAGAGAAAGTAACAACTATCGGTTGGTTATTTGAAGTAACTGAAGGTATATTCTCATCCGATCCTCCAACTACCTGTCATTACATTATGATATAAACGAAGATAGCAAGACTGACTGCAGTTTAAAAATTGAAAATGGAAATTAAAAATAGAGGAAAGTTCACTCACCACTATTAGACGTACTGAAGGAATCTCTTTTGAAAAGCTTAATAACTGGCAGTCAGGAATTAATAAAGATTAAAATAAATATACTTTAACAGCAAATATACAAAAAATGAATGAAAAAAGTGTCAATATAGTCCCTGACTCTTTGTAAGGGGCAATTTAATCTCTAGTCTTTAAGTATAAGTTTCAATAGTCCTTAACCAGGACTATTTTATCCCATATTAAAATAGTCTGGAGACTAATGTAACATTTTTTTTATACTGTGGGACTAAAATAGTTCAATGTAAATAATCAGGGGGACTATTTTGACATTTTACTCGAAAATGAATAATATACATGAGAAAGAGCAAATACTCACATTAATCAGTGTTTGTGGCTCACAAAAAATTGCCTGTATTTCAGCGTGATTTACAATATAACTGGCAGCATCAGGTCCTACAAAAGTTATGAAAGAAAAACATTTGGTATTTACATTAGAGGACTTTGCAAAGAAAGGGAGGGCGAAAAATATTGACTACTGGAGCAAATTATCTCACCAAGAGTATCATACAATGGTACCGATATATAAGAATATGCTGAGCATGCATGGTCCACAATGACCCACTCAGGTCTGTTTATGAAATACAGTCCAATACATGCACCCTGTCAGGCATCAAATAACAAGAGACTTACCTCTTAATAAAACTAAGTAATATTCACATGCATAACACTCAATTCCTATGTATTTACATATTTAACAATTAATGTATATGTCAAATTACCTATGCATGGAATATTATATTTCACTTTCGAAAAGTTAAAATAGTGCCATTTTTTTGTGACAGGAAAAGTTTTGGGTGATATAAATGTCAGGAGTGAAGTTTAGGTGTTAGATATCTAAATATATAAGAAGTGGGTGGTAATTATGTCGATAAATGACTTACTTTCGGAATCCCATAGTATATGAGACCAGACCCAATTGCTGACCGGGATGTCCCTGCTTCCCCATAAGTCATCCATTTGTACCTTCAGCCCAAAAAAAAAAATGATATAAAGAATAGAAAAAAGTGTCAAAGTAGACCCTCCACTCTTTGCAGGTGGTTATTTTAGTCCCATAGTCCATAAAAATATCAATTTAATTTCTTTAAATTGTGACTAAAATAGTTCCCACAGCGGATTATTTCAGCCTCAATTTAAAGAGTTTGGCGACAAATTTGATACTTTTATAGACGACACGACTAAAATGGCATAATGTAAGAAGTCAAGGGACTATTTCTGGCAAATTATGCTAAAGAAATAATTTACAAAAAAACTGATCAGTAGACGTAGAATGTCACAGCATTATGAAAAGAAAGAAGATAGAGAATGTCTCACTCCCCAACTGTTCCATCTGCTCGTATTCTTGTCCCCAGGTACTTGTAATCACGGAAAGCATTAACTGCATACCTAATTGATTGAATCTAGAGTCATAAATCATAGACTAAAAAGGCAGAAAAAATTAATTACATAAAAAAGGGGCATTTACAGATATACCACCCAAGTCCTACTTATTTATATATCTAACACTTATACTTTACTTTTTACATACCTGTCACCTTATCTATGCATGAAAAGATATATTTCACCTTTTAAGAGTTAAATTGGTGGTGTTTTTTATGTGATTTGAAAGATTTGGACAATATATATGTAAAAGTTGAATTTTAGATGTTAAATATGTAAATACATAGAACTGGGTATGGTATGCATGAAAATATTCCCAAATAAAAATTTAACCAAAAGATGAGCAAAATAACAAGAAAACTAAATTCAGCATGGATGCATTAGGATCAACTAAAAGATTAACTATAGTCCTTTTTTGCAAATTCTTCTAGCACTAATACCACCAGGACCAGCACAAACATGCAAAATATGGCACCTACACATAGTTGCATTTGTACATGCACAATATGGCAGTAAGGGAACTTGATATTTGTTTATATACGTCTCTTTAATATTCATTTATTTAGAAAATTGAAAATTTTTGAATAAAAGTTTTAAGCTAGAAATAAATAAATTTGAATATTCACTTGCATTCCTGAACACAATCATTATTGTTTTACAAGAAGCCCACTAAGAGCTTTGATAAAATGCTCCTTTAAACATAAATTAGTAGCTTTTGATAACTTATTTTATTCTATTGCATTAAATTTGTTAAATTCTGTGCAGCACAAAAGTTATTTACACTATTAGAATATGATAAAAATATTAAATAATTGGGATAATTACATATAGAGAGCAAGAAACATACCTATTTACAAATCAAGCACCTATATGATTTTTTGAATTATGAAACCGATGCATTTACGCGTGCCGCGATCGAACCATTGTGAATTCGATAAAAATGACAAATATGTATTGGGCTTTTATCACGAGCTTTGATATTTGAGTGACAATTTGAGAAATGGATCAAAGAGGGTGCTTGAATTGTAAAATGTTTTGGGTACCCTGTATGTAATTGCCCATAATTGAATAGACTAAAAATATAACTTTCCTTCCTATCAACATTTATTAATAAATGTATTAATTAAATGCTTAACGGATCTATTGAAAATCAAATTTTATTTTTCAAATTATCTCTGATAATTAAAATATCAAACAAAAAACTAGATTAATATATTAAAATTCAAATTTTATAATCCATAAAGGATTAGAAATAACACCGGGTGAATTCTAATCAATTTTGAAAAAGAAAATCATGAATATATTTGTTTTTAAAAATAATACAATTGGTTTAAATAATTAGCATCCTGCATGCAGTTAGTTAGCTTGATCATAACTAGAACTTCATAAAAAAAAAAATTAATAAATACAGTAAAATAAGATTTTAAACATGTCTCATGTTCGAGCAAAGCACAACTCAAAAAGAACAAAATGAAACAAATATGAACAGCGTGGTGCTTACTTAAATTGGCTCACATCATTAACATCCTATGCACAAAGAACGTTAAGAAAAAAATAGTTATAAAGTAGAAAGATATGGTTGAAGAAACTGATAAAATTGCATTGAATAAGTAATTAAATGAATGTACTGTAATTAATTAAAATGAGAGCTAAAATAAAAAATATGCACGCCCAAACTTACACAAAATTATCATGTAAAGTTTTTATTTCTGGATGCTCTGGAAATTCAGTGACCAGCTTCAATGGTGACAGAGCAGATCTGCTTAAAAGAAATGAAACAACAATAAAAAACCAGTAATAAACCATAACAGGCATTTGTATCAAAGAAAAAAAAAAGAGAAGATTTTACATACAGACCACTCAATTCCTCCGCATTTACCAAACTTACACAACACCTAAACTTCAATTATCATATACATGCCATCTTACGTGTGCATGAAAGTGTATTTCACTTTTTAAAAGATAAAAAGATGGTATTTTATATGTGATATTAAAGATTTGAGTGGTATATATGTAAAAAGTAAATTTTAGGTGTTAGAAATGTAAATACATAGGAATTAGGTCGTATGTATGTAAATGATGAAAAGAAAAATGACACCTGTATACATTCCACTTCCCAGTTTGTAATTTCTCAGGGAGGACAACACTATAACCCTGCTCTGGATAAGATAAAAAATTAAGGATTAATGCATGGAAAAAATGAAAAAATGTTGTTTTAAAACCAACAAAATTATTCTCTACAGTATGCTAGTGAAATTCTTAGACTATGGTGGCAAGATAAAACATTTTCCATAAATTTTGCAAATTTAGCACAAAATCTTTATCCTTTATATAAAATGAAGAATACTGTATATTTTCTTATTCCAATTGATTGAATAAATACAATATTATATGGGCAAAAGATATAAAAAACAAGAAAAAATTCAAACTAATTATTTATAATCAATTTAAGATATAAAAAATCATTCCACCAAGGAAATAGTAGTTGGGGAAGTTATGGAAGTCAGGAGGACAGCAGATAGCCAATGTAGTTTATCACAGGGCTGATGGGCATTGCATTGGTCAACATCTTAAATTACATGAGAATTTCTTGACCCTGCAACTTGATTATATTGCTCTTAGGGTTTCTTTGGCACAGCTGTTGGAGCCGCGGCACGGCCTGCTGCCGCAAATTTCATTGATTGTTTGGTGTTGCGATCCGGAGCTGGATTATTCCACTTTATATGGGATTTTTTCCTTTCGAGCCCTCCATCCCGCTCGCCCTCGCCTCGTAAGCGATCTGCCTATGGCTTTTTCTCCAAACTTTCACTTCTCTCTCCGACACATCTGGATAAGGTTTTTTGTCGGTGTTTGCTTCCTTCTTCCTCCAGTATCCTCTCCCCTTCATCTCTTCTTTGTGGATTTGTTCTATGAACCGTATCGTTTGCACACAGAGAATTTTTTTTTTTTTGGATTTTTACATACAAAGCACCGGAGACTTGCATTTTTTCTCTTTTCTTGGTGGTTACAACCCCATTTTTACATGCGAAGGCACCATATGCTTTGTGATTTGTTTGATAGGTTTATAGTCTTTGGTTGATGCATACATTCCGCTTGGTTTTGCTTTTTGGGAATACTTACATACCTGTAAATCAAGTCTTGATTTTGACATTTTTTGCTTCCTTCTTCCTACGTTGATTTGTGATATGTGAAAGCGAATTTGAGAAATGGTTGGAGCATTATATGAACGAGGCTTTTCGACTGTTGTTTATTTGATTAACATGAATTGGGATTTCATCATAATTTTTTTATATTTGAGTGAAAATATTGAGAAAAGAATGTTAGAGGCTTGAGCATTTGTTAACAGCAAGGTTTATGTCGTGTACATTATGAAATTGGATAGGGAATCAAGCTGGTTTAACCAGCAGTATTGTGGGTTCTCCTTTTTTGGTTGGGATTTTATATTTTTGTTTTCATTTTGATGGTTTCGGGTGCTCATTTTTCTGTTGGAAATTTACAATTTACAAACTCAACACAAAATTCTTACGTGTTTACATTCATGATAGTTGAATCCATATTTTGTTGTTTGAGGGATGATGGTAGTTGTACTCGTTCGTATTTAACTGCTTCACATGGTTTCTCTATGTTGCTTATGTTGTAATGGTGTTCACCTTAATTTGATTTTGCGAATTTGAGTGTTGTGTGCATGAATATTAAAGTTTTGGTGTGAGATATGTAAATTCAATAGAATTGTTTGTTGTGTATGTAAATGGACCTTATTGGATGATTGGATTATGTGGGGTTGTTGTATGCTATTTTGATGAAATTTTTCTAAAAGAATTTTGAGAAAAAAAAGGTTTTGAATGATTGAATTATTTGGGGGAAAAATAATGTCTAGATCACAAAAAAAAAAAAATTCAGTATATTTACCCAGATATCTCAGGATTATAATGTAAAGTTCAAAGAAATTTACAAATATAACACCCACTTCTCATGTGTTTATATTTATGACAGTTATTTGCATTTATCTGAGAGTTTCTGCCGGTTTGGATTAGTTATTGGGACAGCGATGTTCGGTGTGGCGGTGGTGTGGGTGTGTTGTGATGGATTGGTGTGGGGGTGTAGGTGTTGTGGGAGCAGTGGAGTTTGGCGTCGAGATGGTGTGGTGGCAGTGATGACTGGTGTGGGGGCAGTGATGACTAGTGTGGGGGCAGTGTTGTTTGGTGTCGGGATATTGTGGGGGCGGTGGTGTTCGGCGATGTGATGGCAACGAGTGCAGTGGTGTTTGGTGTAGGCATATTTTGGGGGCAGTGGTGATTTGTGTGGGGGTGAAGTGGGACGGTGGTGCTTGTTGTGGGGATGGTTATGGGGCGGTGGTGAAATAAGACAATTTTATTTTTGTTTGATTTGTGCTACTTATTTCTTGTGTCAAATATTTATGTTTAACTTTTCTATGATGGTAACACGATGGATAAGAAATAAGAACTCGGTTCATGAGCAATGTGGGATAAGAAAGCCAAACTAATATTTTGTGACATCTGCCTTAAGGAGGTGGAACTCAGAGACAAGCCCACAACCTATTCTAAGAAGGAAGGGTGACAAAATATTATGAAAAGATTCAAGGAAATTACGGGAAGGGGGTACGATAAGATGCAACTGAAAAACAAGTGAGATTAACTGAAAAAGAACTGAAATTTTTGGAAGAAATTGAAACAAGGATCTACGGGCTTGGGTTGGGATCCAATCAAGCAGATTACTCGTTTTCTTCAGGAATGATGGGCTGAGAGAAATGCAAGTGAAAATAGATCAAACCTACATGTTATGATTTTCTTTTCCTAAATTGTATGAACATATCCATGTACCTTTATATTGCAGGTAGTGAAAGCCTGCAAAAAATTAAAATTCAGTGGTATTGACCCTGAGCTGGAAGTGAAATTGGACCGTATATTTGGTGGGGTTGTAGCAACGAGGAATAATGCTTGGACCTCAGGTGAGCGAGGGTTTGCAAGCATGTCAGAGAATTTGATGTCGAACAAACAATGAACTCCAATGAAGGTCCTAGCCCAAACCAATATGAAGTAGAGTCCACTAGCAGGACAAAACGTCCAAGGGTGGAGGAAAAAAAAAAGAAAGGGTTGCTTCATTAAAAGCCAAAAATCACAACTAGTGGCTTCATTCACCAATGACCAAGGGACATCACAAGAGGCCTCCATCCAACAAGTTATCCAAGTTTTGTAAGCAACTCCAGAAATTTATGAGGACATGTCATTATATTTGTTCTCTATGAGGTTGTTGGAGGACCCGACCTGTAGACAGTTATTCATGATGATGGCCCCTGACCGCAGGGTCAATTATTTACATTATTTTTACGACTACATGGACACTTGACTTTATATTTTTTTCTTTGAACTATTTGTATTTATTTTCCAGTAGATTTATCAGGCTTCAGCTTTGGATGTTTTTTTTCTTTTTCATTGGAACAATGTTAATGCTACTTTGGATGTTTGTTTTTTTATCGTACACTTTGTAATTTGTTATTCGAAGTTCATTTATGATGTTGATTGGCTATGAAATTGTATCATCAAAACTGGTTCGGTGATTCTCATGTCTCACCTGAACAAAGCACTTGTTTACCATGAATTCACAAAAAGAGACGCAAAAGGAGAATTGTGACAGCGGTATATTTGATATATTAGATCGGTCTCCCTGCATGACATCATCTTACATTAGTGATAAATGTATTGGGGAGCTACTTGAAGGACATCCTACAAAATTCAGCATGTTTCGTATGATACAAACAGTATTTATATATCTCCTAGATGAATTACACAGGAATCATGGACTTCATGGCTCCTACAGGATGACTTCCAGAGAGACGTTAGCAATAATTCTCTACATTTTGTCACATAATGAATTAATGAGAGAAGCGATGGAGCGATTCTAGCATTCATCAGAGACAATCAATAGATACTTCTCGGTTGAGTTGAACGTTTTTGTTAGTTTCTCATAAAAAATTATCAAGTTAGAGGACCCAATATGATGTATAAATATTTATTACATGTTTATTTTCGGTATTTTGAAGGTCCGTGACAAGACATTAGACCTTAAGAGTTCTTCTATATGACATATTTGTCGCTATTGGTTATTGTCACATGTGAAATCCCAATGAAAGCAACTAAGTTCCTCTCATTTTTACAGTGTTGTGGTTTTTTTAGGCTCTTTTTTTTATAGTTTTTTTGTTTGGTGATATGCATATGTGACAAATACGACATTACGTGTTTTTAAGACAACCAATAACTCTTTTTTTAATGTATGCTTTCATTTGGAAGTGACAAATTTGTTGTTTTATACTATGTTCTCTGAGATCTCGGGGTTAAGTAAAACTTGCATTGTTTAATTATATTTTTTCTGTAATATTGCATCTAAGAATTTGTGATGTGTTGTGTTAAACCATCACAGAAGATGAGTTTGAGGACTTCCAATACCTCTAGAGGATTGCACTGCTACTACGGACTACCATGCCCCTTAGTTACTTCGCGACAGTCACATAGCTATGGAAGACAGTATTACAGGAGTCTGAGGAAAAGAAAAGAAAACTATGACTTCTTTAAAAGAGTAGATGGGTTGGAGGAATCGACAGCTGATAATGATCAGGCGTGATGAGTTTCCCTAGAGGACGACTTGTCTTGTGACCTACACTAGCTGCATCTTAAAAATAACATTATCACCTTATTAATTGTTATTTTAGTAGTCTTTTTTTTTTTTTTGATAGTAGTGCTACTTATTGTTTAGTGAGGTTTCTATTTTTATTTTGTAACGTTCGAAATGGATATCTGCTTTCAAATGCGAGTACTAGTATGAATAGTTTTCTTCTAAACAACATTACAATACAGAGGCAGAATGGTCATTTATCCAAAAACGGCTGCAGCACAACTATTTTCAAGCTGCTGAAATAAACAAACAACCAAATTATCCATAGCAGTTTCTCGACACAGCTGCTGCAAAGCAGCTTATTAATAAGTTGCAGCTGTCTCAAATAGACCCTTGGTTTCCCGACCCAATATAGTATTTTGTCATTTATTATGGTTTAGTATAAATAGGGCTTATATGTTTAGGGTTATGGTTATGTATGAGGTTGTTTTTGTGAGGCTTAGGCTTAGGGTTTGTTAAAGATTTTCTC